GCTTTAATCCCCCCCACCCCCCGAGGTCTCCATGGCCAACTGTGTGCCAGAATCCAGGATTAGTAGTGTTCTTTGCACTATTCGAAAGTCATCCTCTCTGTCTGCTCTTTTTTTTTTTTTTTTTGGCTGAGTCTCAAAGAGCTGGACTAAAAGTTGAACAGGAAGTTAGAAAAGACAATAGACTCTAGCTTGCCCTTTATTTTGTATTTTAAAAGGTACTCATAAAGGATATAATGTAACAAAATCTAGACATTTTTTCTCTCATATTGATGGTCATGTCACATTGAATTAAAACTAAAATTGTAAACAAACTTTGTGACTTTGTTTACCAACGGACAAAGTCGAAGCGACAAAAAAAAAAAAGGTCAGCATTGGTGACATGAGAAGGCCCGTTTGGGGAAGTCTGCCCGTTTTGATGTATCGGCATGTTTTTGTGCTCAGAGTTGTTGAGTAAATGCAGGTGAAAGTGTTTTGTTTATACTGAGTGCGTACCCGCATTTCAGAGCTGCTTCTCAGCATATCTGGAAAAGTGAGTAAAGGCTTTCAAACTGCACCATTTGTTATCCATCATCTTTTACCCACTTTTCTTTTCAGATTGCGGAGGTCACTGGTGCCCTGCGAGGGGCAGGGACGGGGGGGGGGGACACCCCGGACATTTCACAAGTCCACCACAGGGACACAGAGACAAACGAGACAAGCAACCGGTCAAGCTCTCGCTCAGTTTACAGTGACCTATTATCCTAACAGGCATATTTTTGGACGGTGGGAGGAAAACCAGAGTAGCCGGAGAAGACGGATGCGTGGAGAGAACATGAAATCTCTACCCAGAAAAGTCCCCGGCTGGGATTCGATCCGGCAACCTTCGTGCTGAAAACACTGAGCCACCATTTGATTTATTTCAAGATACTKGTTTATTTTAATTATTGATTTATTTTAATGTTTGATTTCATAGTTTTGCGCKAAAACAGGGTGTCAGACTTTTTCACCTTGGATGTTCTGCAGGGSTCGGTAAGGCTGTAATGAGAGTTTGGGAGCAGCAGCTGCCTGGCTCAATGTGTGTGTGTGCATGTGTGTGTGTGTGTGTGCGCGCGTCACACACAGTGGTCAGCTCTCATTGTTCCTGTGCTCATACGTGCAAGGATATTTTCACACACCAAACAACAAAGCTCATGCAGGTCATGCGGTTCCAAACACAAGAGGCAATTGTGTTGAATTAGTGGGGTGATGGTGGGCTGTGGGGGGTCAGGATTTAACCTCTGGGACTGAGTGGGACCATCACCACAGCAGGAGCACAGCAGTAATTCACAGTAAAGTTCAGTGTATTGTACGCAGCTGTGCCTCATAACCAGCCAGTGATGACTCACACACATTTCAATTCTTCCCTACTTCATGACTGACAGATGACGTATGAAATATCAGATTGCTCCATAAATCAATATAACACTCAGGCTTGGGGGGGTCGTTTGGGGTCAGTCAAATGCTGACTTTACATCCTGTTAACTAAACAGTTTTTAGAACAAGCAGATGTCATTAATCTTGAGCACCTGCAATGCTGATAATGTGTGAAGGCAGAAACGTGAAGGGAGGAGGTTTTAGGCTGTTTTTCCCCCCTCCCTCCTTCTGCATGTGCCTTGCATGAACAATTCAGCCCATCACATCTACAATCAGCACGCGCATCCTCTCCATATCACATTAAAATWAACCCAAAAGCTCACGATATGAACCACGCATCCTTTATTTTCACGCCATCCCACTGTTTCTGATCCATTCATGGTGAATGAGCGTGCGTCCTGCAGAGCTGCGGCTCCCATTGATAAAACAGAAGAAAAAAAATTCCTGCATTCGACGTCACCAAGACATGCACGCGCCTCAGCAGCAGCAGCAGCCCGTCCTGCTGCACAGCTGCACGGCCACAAGGACGAGCCTCATACCTGCATCTTGTCAGACGTGAACACCTCGGTGTCGACCTCGCAGGCGATGATGGTCACCATCTCCAGTTTCATATTTATGGATGGCATTCCCTTGGGTGGTGAGGAGGGGGGGAAAGCGAAATAAAGTACAAAATTTTTAAAAAAGAAAAGAAAAAGAAACAAAAAGCTAAAAATGTCTCTTGTTTATTTTTCGGAGGTCGCAGCGATCAAATCTCCTCCCGGGAAGTCGAGGTTACACGTCCACCGCTGAGGCGCTTATCTGAGTGATGCTGCAGCAGCAGYACACTCTCCCTGCCTCCCTTCCCTCCTCCTCTTTAAGCCACGCCCCTKCTGGCTCTACATTGACGTCATCCTCACGTTCGTCTTGTTTTACGCCACTACACMGTGACTGGCGAGCCGTGCAGGGCGCACTGCAGAACCTACCGTCCGGTTTATTCCGCTTTTTCTTCTTCTTCTTCTTTTCTTCTCTTTGCTGTATTTTATGTTACTGGAGGAAAGAATGGGTCAGAACTAGTTTTAGGGAAAAAACTGCATTAACACCAGCCTCACATGGTTCTGACAAAAACAGTTACCTCTGAATGATCCTTAATTTTTTAAAGCCAATATTTGTGGATAAGACACATTAAATAATGGATTTTCTCGCCTTTCTACTAAACTACAATCAATGAAGAATAGCTCATAAAAATAGTAGTTTTTGTCTCAAAATAGTCGACTGACATCATTAAAAAGGAAAATTGTACACAATATTTTCATTTAAAATCACTTTCTTTTATTTGATGCAYCAACTAATTTCAAATATGTACAATCAATCAATAAAACTGATCCTTTATTTTCTAAAAAAAAAACATTGAAATCACATCAAGACTTTTACAACTAGTCCAACTATGAGTGTAAAATAAATTGTGCACTGCCTCATGCAATAGGGCACAGTTTAAGGTTTACAATAGGTCATTCTATCTGTTGTAAAAAGAAAAATAGGGCTTTGTWTGTAGACATCATGTAACTTTGGACAGGACAGAGCTAATAAAAACAAATCATATGTCAGGTTAAAGAGAATAAACTGTGCTGCTGCAGGAGATTTAAAAAAAGTCCTCTTTTATCACCAGTCTGAAGAAAAAACTGTTAATACATTTTTATTTATGAGTTACTTCTGCAGTTTCAAAAGCTAGTTCAGTTTTAATTATGGAGGCATTTTTAACATATCTTTGGACAGAGACATACTTTGATCGAATTTCCACACTTAAGGACATATAATTAAAAAAAATGACAGGTTTGGCATGTTGCATACAACTTATTTAACATGTTTTAACTTTCTTACCGTTCCAAATACTCTTGTCTGTTTTCCTAACAAAAACAGACAAGTTAAAATGTGAATATTAATGAATTATATAAAAAAAACTCACATTTAGGGTTATTTATGGGGAGTTTGATACYTTCAGCATCACTCAACTTGTTTGTTTAATAAAACAAGAGTAAAATTCTAAATCCATTTGATTAACATGCATAAAAAGACTGTGTATGCTGTTCTTGTGACCATCACTTGAGTACCTGCACCAAAAAAGAAAAATAATCACAAAATAAATGATGATAAAATATGCTGTAATTAAAGTGTGACGCCAGCTCTGTTTAAGGGTTGAGCTTTAAGGGCAGGCAGATAAATAGAAGAAACTTGGGTGCAAGATGAGCACTTCTTGCTAAAGATTTAACGTTCTCAAACTCTCAGTGAAGAAAATACTTCAGCTCTTTCCTCATCATCATTATCTTCATCTAAATTTCCACTGCAGCTGAGGACCAATCAGTGCAAAAAAAAAAAATAAACCCTCCCACAGGCTTTATGCTGTTGCATAACGAACCATGTCTTCTCTCCATCACTCAGATCATCTCTTTCATTTCATAATAATAATAACTGCTCGACCAGTCGAGACAGCTAAGTCTCCATAAGCCATTAATATTGAGGCTCTAAGCAGTCGGGGCTATTTATGTCTGTGTGTGTCAGGTCATTGTCCACGCCGAGCAGACGGAAAACATGAGAAAGATATGTGCGAGTGAGCGCGACATTCCTGCAGCAGACAGAAGTCAGTCACTCAGTCAGGAAAAATCTGCATGGAAACACACACAGCACAGTCACATGCTTCATCTGGCGGCTTTTATTTCTTCAACAGTTAAGAGAAAATGTACACAGAAAAAAAGATGTTACATGACAGTTTGGGGTATTATTTACAAATCACCTCCTCGGCTCATTAATCTCATGCACCAAAGCGCAGCGTTTTTAAATAAAAACTTTGTCTGTTAGGTTTAGCTTAAACGTACCATTATTTATTTACGTTGACAATTTCTTTCATTTACAAAAGGTTTGGGTCATTAGAAGATCACAAAAATTCARTCACATCATGAAAACAAAAAGAGTCGAGCAGATGCTTGCTGGTGTGTGCTCGTCCTCTGAGTCATCCTGCCCTGTACTTTACCTGAAATGTAAATCTGGATTTCTTTAATATGGCGCAGCACAACACAGTGCAACCTGTTCAGCAGAGAATTCATTCCAGTTTACAACTTTACAGGAAATAAAGGAATCTGAGATCTTTATCAAATTAAAAACCCATAGCATCCCTGGAAAAAACACATTGTTTGCCATTTTTATAGTAAAATGTATGTGTTGGGGATGACTTTTAGCTACCACATCAGAGTTTAGCTCAGTATCAGTCAGTTTGAATGAATTACAGGATGATTCAATTCAGGGGCTGCAGCCCACGCAGGGCATGCTTGTCAGTCGTTTCTGTTGCRGTCCCAAATCGACAAAACCACAAAAACGTAGCCTGCATCTGAGCATTCTACATGACCATCGATATTCCAGGATTAGATTGGATTAGAGATTAGAGAGACCTTTATTGRCATCGTACAGAGAGCACAATGAAATTCCAGTTCAGAACACCCATTCAGAAGAAGACAGAACATGACAAACATGGGAGAACAGGTGCCCTGGGTCATGCAGCCACAGACCCTGCACAGAGCAAGGATCATCTTCATGAAGACATCACGAGGAGGCGCTACCCTTAACAGAAAAACTAAAAACCACACAAGGGAAGATGAGGGAAAAAACATCCATTGCGCCGTCAGCAAATTAAACAGAAAAACAGCCGGCCGAGTTTGGAGATTTATCCCAGACCGAAGAATTTGTTTTTAAATGTAAGTTTAGCACCTTAGCTGATGAAAATTTGCTGCAATGAGATGTTAAATAAAATGCAATTACAACAGATCCTGGAGCAAACCCAAATTATTAATGTTTTATTTATTTACTTGCAATGTTTTTTTTAAATAATACAAACTTTTGTGAAGTCATGAGGGAATCCATTTTGGTGCTTTGGGATCGCAGTTCGGCTTTTTGAAAATGAGGTGGTCCTACTGGTTTCATCAGATTGTGTCTCCAGCTCTCACTGGAGCTGTTTGCATCCGAGTGCGAAGCYAGCGGGCTGAGGATCAGTGCGTCCAAATCTGAAACCATGATCTTGAGTTGGAAAAAGGTAGAGTGTTTTCTTTGGGTCGGGGAGGAGGTCCTGCCCCAAGCGGAGGAGTTTAAGTAACTCAGTGTCTTGTTCATGAATGTTGGAAAAATGTAGAGATGGATAGGCGGATTGGTGCTGTGTCTGCAGTGATGCAGGCACAGATCTGTCGTGGTGAAGCGAGAGCTGAGCCAGAAGGCAAAGCTCCACGTTTCCTACCCTTGTCTATGTTCACGAGCTCTGGGTAGTGACTGAAAMAACAAGACCCTGGATACAAGCGGCTGAAATGAGTTTCCTCTGCAGGGCCTCTCACTTACAGAGAACCTCAATCCTCCAGGAGGGACTCAGTCGCTGCTCCTCCACACTGATAGGAGCCAGTTGAGGTGGCTCGGGCATCTGGTTGGGATGCATCCCTGCTGAGGTGTTCTGGGCACGGCCCAGCAGAAGAAGACCTAGAGGAAGACCCAGGACACGTGGGACTGTTTCTGAACTGGCCTGGGAACACCCTGGGATTCCACCAGAGGAGCTGGTCCAAGTGGAGGTGGAAGTCTGGGCCTCTCTGCTTAGGCTGCTGCCCCCGCGACTCGACCCCAAATAAGTGGAAGAAAACGGATGAATGGATGAATTTTGTGAAACTATACTGTGAAAAAACAAAGAAGGTGTGTGATATAAAACATATGGTAACAGGGCAGTGTGAGGTCATGCAAACATTTATCATCTGAAGATTAGACTGTCTCAATTCAGACATTTTATGCAGCCTATAATGGTAGTAGACAGCCCACAGGTTCCACAACACTTGATTTGAGACACAGGGAGAGTTGTTTTTGTTGCACCTAATGTGGCAGCCATCTTGAATTGATTTGACTTCAAATATAATCCAATGTGTTCACCTAACATCTGACTGGTTCATGACACATTTTTTCTGACAGACAAACTGAGTTTTTTTTACAATGTAGCACTCAGAGTATGTGTTGCGGGGATGACTCTCAGCTACCACCACATCCAAGTCCAGCTCAATACCATTAAAAGTTGTTCATAGGATATTCTGCTAAAAGACAAAGAAATAAACAAAAATTAAATAAGAAAACTTGATTTTTTTCCAAATAGTATGAAAAATGAACACAAACGAACACATGTGCCATGACAGAATTAAAGTCCAGTCCTGTTTATTTATGTACTGTACTTGGCCCTGCACCAGTACTTTACTGACTTTAATGCTGATGCATTCCTCTGATCCCTTCTGCCGCACCTGATAAAGTAAAATGGATCACCCTGCATGATGAAGCACTTTTCTTTTTCTTCTTTGYCCTCATTCTGCACACTCTGCTCCTCCTCCTCCTCATTCTCAATTCTCTTCTCCTCATTCACAATTCTCTTTGGCGAATCTCAGCTGGCACACCTCAAACCAGACTCTCTGCACAGCTGGAGAACGCAAGACTGCCTTAGAAGGCTTCAACTGTACTCCTATTACATCATTATGAAACATTATTTTTACTGTACATAAGAAATCATGTTTTATAATGGCTGGTCCAATTTAAATACAGATACTGTTGAGCATTTAAAAGGATTAATACCCATTTATGTGTGCAGTAAATAAGCAGCTACAGCTCTGAATTGAGCAACACAGCAAGTCTGCCTCTGCCCAAAAGATATAAAATATGTCTAACAGCACTCCTAAAGTGCATTTCCAAAAATAAAACTGTTCCCTCAAGTATAATCCATTTGCTTAAGCTGTACCGAACCCTCGAGTGCAGCAATAAACCAAAGAGCATAAAATCTACTATTGGTACAGAAATATATCAAGCAGAGAAAATGTGTTTGATCTGAAAGAGTTTGTGATTTTTAACCTAACTTTGATTATTTTTGCTTTGGTTTTCAGCCATTTTATCTTACTTAACTAGTTATTTTATCTTCCTTTTTTATCTTATTTTATTCTCTTTTGTTCCTGCTCTACTGAGCCACAAAACCCAGTGTTTCTTTTTTTTTTTTTTTTTTTTTGTGAAGTTCGAACGACAATACACCTGAAATCTGACTTTCAAATCTGAGCTCTGCAGGAGCAGGAGGGAGGAAATCAGGGCAGTGGATCATCATCACAGTGTGCTGATTTATGCACCATCATAACACAAACACATACATATTCATGCACCCACGTGCCGCGCAGATAGGGACGCATTATACAACACAGCGTTTCACCCAAAAATAGAGACAAAGAGAAGACAAATCAAAGTAAAAAATAAAAAAATAAAACTTCAGAGGCACTCTGCAGGAACGCAGACCGGCTGCAGCTGGATTGTTCCCATGATTTGCACACAACTGCATCTAAACACAAACAAGCCGGCTCCGTCCGTTTGCTGCCAACTCCTCGTTACAACCGGCTACCTCATTTGGCCCAGCCGAACCGAGCCGCGGTGCCAGCGCCAATGCAGCTGCTGTAATCTAGGCCAAGCTATTTATAAAGCAAGCAGCCAAGTGAAGGCACAGGAAGCCAGGGGGAGACAGAGGGATGAGAGGATAAAAGAACGTCTACAGGGCAGTGAGACAGATCTGCAGAGTGGAGGTGAGAAGGGGCGGGGCTGAARGGATGGGTCTGCAGCACGGGTACAGGAAGAATAAAAGTTGATAAAACACTGAAAGAGACTAAAACTAGAAGTCGGGTTGGCTCTGTGTTTACTTTCTTCAGCTGCAGAGACAAACATGAGCAGCATGAATTATGACAACTCTTTTAACCTTCAGACATGTTTTTCTGGTGGTTTGTAAGCCTGAAACGTGAGGCAGGAAATACAGTTGTTGGGTTGTAAAGCCTTTTTTCCCCCCCTGACCTGTGCAGACACCTCCCACTTTTCAGCTCTCGCCAGAGCTCCAGTTAATTAAAAAGGTTACATCAGGTAATTACAGGCAACGATTCAGCTACACGAGGATCAAAAGGAAAACCTCWCACAGCTTATTTTACTCATGTGAAGAAGAATCAAATCTATATGTTTTGTCTTCAGAGCAGAAAAATCTCAAAACAAGTTATTAAAATTCCCATCACACGACATGGACAAAATCTGCACAATATTGAKGTATTAGCAAAGAGTCGTTCACTAAAAGCGGTGTAAATGTCAAAGCTAAAAACACTCACTAGAGACTGGTTTAATATAAGAATGTTCAAATTTAATCAGTGAATTATAAAGTCCCTTTAACTGTTACTTTCTTTTGTCTAATTGATCAAACCCAGACAAATATACACTGCTGCGACATTTTTTAATAAAATCACCCAAGAAAATTATTTTGTTTAATTGAGTTCACCATTATTTCAGAAAATCCATCGCATCATATATTTTAGAGTACATATTAGCCTAATACCAGCATTTTTTACAATTACTCATATTCATACTAAATGCCCCGATACCCAAAATCGATACCAGTACCAGTATGGATACTGGTATTCTGTTATCAATACCCAATTAAATGTGTCACAGTTTACATCTCAAATGAAAAGTTTGTTGATTTATGTTAAAAAAAAACCTATACAAGTAAAAAGAGAATGTTATGTTATATACTGTATTCTTAATATTTTGCAACAATATATTGGTATTGGCGCGTACAAAAACAAGTACTTG